ATAGACCTAATCGGCTAACGCATTGTTATACAAAACTTTCACAATGGCCAGCACTAATTATTGTTAAATTCATAATGTTGACAAAAGAAAACACTCAGATGATAGATATCAAAGCTAAAGATAAACTTTGAAAGTTTCAAAGAAAAATATTAAATCCTCAGGATGTTATAAGGGTTGGAAGATGCACAAAAACACCAAAACGAGGCCACAAAGGACTTAGTAAAGAATTCCATACAAATCCTTGTATTTTCATTCCTCCATTACTTCAATGGTATTTAGTCTATATCTTCGAAGTTTTGCACCATTACTTATTTCTGATAGTTCTTCAATATGACAGTGCTGAATGTTTCCTAATATTGCCGATCATATTAAATCGATAGTAGGCAACCACCCGGGAGTAATGCACTAGTCAATTGACCCCCGCCCCACGGGGAATACCGGGGAATTTAACGTTTGAGTGGTGCTTAAAATAGGACATTTCTCCCGGTAGTCGGGGCACAGTCATTATTAAAATCCCCGCTTCTGTTGCCCCGCTATTTTGGTCTAGTAGTAAATAACAAAACAAACACCTTTCAATCAAATTTTCTGTGATACACAGGGTTAGTTTTTGTATATTCCTGTGTGCTCATTTGCGTACTATACATGTGGTTAACTGGACGGAGAAAAACGCGTAATAAGTTAAAAAAAATTCATGCAAGGAAAAATAAACAAATAAAAAAGCGGGGTTGAATACCAATGCCTTCAGGGTATTTCTCAAGATGGCGAATGTCTAGTTTCCAGCCTCATACATGTTCAAACGAGCGTTAAAATCCCCGCTCTTTGCCCCGCTTCGAAACCAATTCATCAAAATCCCGACCCTCCGGGGGCATTCTTGCTGCTAAAAGCACGTTAAAAACGCGTCACGTCCGCGTTCAGTGCCCCGCTAGCCCCGGGGGTCTGGGGGCGGGGGTTTCAATTGACTAGTGCATAAGTTTCATTGTTCGTTGCAATTTTATTCCACGGTTGAATTCTTAGAAACAAAAATTCTTTTCCTCACAGGATTTGAATTGGGTGGCAACGTACATAGCAACGCGTTAGCCGATCGGGTCTATTATCGCTTTGGAGTTGTTTTTTTTACGTTTGATCATTAAGAAATAAACCCATTGAGACCCGACTATTCATTRTGAGAAACAGCAAGCTCACGTGATCAAGGRCTGCTGACCGCACTATTCATCATTACCTTCTATTTCACAGTTTTTTCCCGTGGTTCCTGGAACGCATTTGCACTGGTAGGTTTCCATGGTGACAAATACCGGAATGCACTTGCCATTATGTTTGCAGGGTTTTTCCTCGCACTTTGACTATGCGGAATGGAAATATAAATTAGTTTGTCATATATATCTACAGCTAAAAAAAGTTAAGAGCGAATGTCAGTAAACAAGAAACAAATTCGAAAAGGCTGTTGACAACGACCGAAAAATCAGAAATGATTGCTTTGCAAAAGGTGTAAAATTCTTGTAATGCGAACATCACTTCGTTGGACTCCATCGACTAAAATTTATTTTTTTTGTCTTTTGAAGTATCAATAAGGACCMATCAGTTGCTGTGTTGTATGTGCGCACGCTGTGATTGGTTGTCTAAAAATTGATTATCGGGACACCTGGTGTAGTGGTGACGAGATTACTAACGAGATGGACACTTCAGGTTATGTACTTCTGAATCAAGAAATGAATACAACTGAAACTTACGATCAATCTTTTTTGATTCATAAAAAAATGTTTTTCGCTCTAAAATGAAACGTTGAAAATATTCACCATGTGGTCATTACAAATTACTAAAAAAATCTGATCGGAAGAAGTTGATTTTAATGCGAAAAGAAACTTCATCATTTTTTATCTATTTTTGGTATGAAAATTTMTTGGATATTGATAATATTGCCGTAAAGTCATTATCGAGTCGAGTTACCTTAATGAAAAAAGGTTTGAGCGAAATTAATTTTTCGGCTCTTGCCGCGATACGATTGACATCTGCTCTTAAGAACTGACTGTGTAAATTAATAAATGAAAATTAGATCGTTATTTTGGTTAATCGGGTAATTCAGCTGACTTATTGAAGTGTTTTCTCGACTGCGTTCCGTTGCCATTCTGATCAACTTCATCMTGTCGTTTTCCCCTTCTCGCTTGACTAGAATGGCAACGAAACGTAGTCGAGAAAACACTAACATAATAATTAGATCTTTTTAAATTTGTTCCTGGTATTTCTATTGAGATTTTTATTACTGAAAATATACAACAATTCCATATAACATAACCTTGTTATTGAGTATTTCAGTTCATTCACTTCTCTATGAAAACACCTGCTTGGCGTTAGATATAGCGAAGCGGAATGATTCCCGCAATACTCCAATTTCGAGTTCTGGTTTGCTCTGTGTAAGCCTCAAAACCAAGTAACATATTCTTTTGTTTCATTGATAGCCCGAAAACACGCATGGAATTCGAAAAGAAAGACAATAGAATTGAATTGAAATCTCACACGTTTATTCTCACAATTAGGAWTATTTTGCGCACAAATGAGGCTAACACAGAGCATTGGAGAATTCGAAACTGGATCATTCGAAAATGAATACAAAGAACTGGAGAGGAGTAACTAAGCTAAGGTGGCATGATACTCGGAAACGGAGCACTCACCGGTAATGTATAATGATCGATTCCCTTCACTGCGGAAAAGTTTCCTTCATTTTGGTACTTGTCAAAATCCAACAGCACACATTCAAACAGACCTTCGCCAACTCTTGTTGTGTTCACATTGATAGAAACACATGGTGCGTTGGAAGAGCAAGCACTGAGACAGTCATACACAGAACTAACTTTGGATTTTTTCAGTGGTGTTCCTGATAGCAAGGAGTTTTGATGTTGTACGTAGTTTCCAAAGCTTAAGTCGCTGTTTCTACCYTGAACCGAGGCATCATCGGCGAAGACTTTTGAGATGTTTAGCAAAAAAAGCAATAACAGAAGAGCCATCYCGAATGACTTATGCTCTTTGTAGAAATCTTTTAATTAGGTGGTGTWGTAAAAATTGGAGTTATCTATAAAAACTTATTAATAATACAAGTGGCTGCAGAACATGCTAGTGTAAATAAAGCTGTCGGYAGGTATATCTTGCATCAAATGTGACATTTTAAATTAAATTTGACATTTTTGATTGATAAAACCAGTCAGGGACATTCAGTTATCCCGGCATGGGTGTGCAGAGGTAGTTGTCTTCTAATGTTTCCCACAGTGACGTCAAACGAGGGAAATTTAGAAGATCTTTAATTAACACCTTTGTATATTTCTCTAAATTTCCATTTAGAAAAATTTAAAGGATTCCTTTGTCTTCCAAATTTTTCTCGTGTGACGTCACAGGAGGAAAATTAGGGTTTGTAAACCCCTCGGAAGACAAAGGAATCCCAGCTGATCATGGTATTATAGGATATTTTCGCCTGCGATCTTTTTGAGGTGATGGGGGTGAGGGAGGTCGGAGAGGAAAAACAACCTCCTCCTAGGGCCACTACTTAGGCTAGGATATTTTTTCCGTTTAATTCTCTGAATATGATTTTCAGATGGACTTAACACTTGTTTCAAATTTTAAGGTAACTATACCAACGATGCAAAACTTTTGGTGTTTCTATGTTTTAGCACCATTTTGCAATATGGAGACGCAAAAATGTTGTCACAAGTTATGTTATTCTGTCTCACTCATTCCCTGATGATGCTGTAGAAAGCGAAAGCTCGGAGTCATTTATATTAAACTAGATTTACAATCAGCAGCATCGGCCACATTCGTAGTTTTTTCTATCATTCTACTATACTGCTCAAGGATACTTCCAGCATCGTGGAGAGATTTAGTATGTACTTTTAAATCTTATAACGCGGTCTGCTTCTTGCCTGTACTTTCAGTCGAACCAAAACTGTTAAGTCCGTCTGCGAACCAGCGACGATCATCGTGTACTTTAATTTCATTGGCCTTTTAGTTTTTAATCTAACGAGTACTCATTGGCACGGTAAAATAGATTAACCAAATTAACATAAATATAAGGATCGCTGCAAGAAAAAATGTCAAAAATTGAACAGCTGTATAGTAGTCCAAGAATATTTCGGCTTTCTTGTTGATCACGACCGACWTATCTTCGGAGTTTGAGATGTTTTTGAGATTCGTCACTCAGCTCATCTTGATTTCTTTATCTTGGCATCMATAAAGTCAGTTTTTGTAAGTTGTACTGTAGTTTTCAGTGATATTAAAGGCTCATTTTAACTTGAGATCTCGCAAGAACTACTAAGAACGTTGCTATCAATGCTTTTAAAATCGAGGACCGGCCCGTTCAGAAATTAACGCGTTGAACATCTCTTGCTTCATTTCAAAGCTCCTTTTCGTCCTTTTTGTTCTGGCAAAATGCTGTTGAAGCTATTTTTAGCGCAAACACGATGCTGGCTTACTGAGAAAATGCATGACAACGAGAGAATTGATGTCAAAAAGAAAAAAGAAGAAGAAGAAAAAAAGGACCCGGACTGGTTAGGGTTTATTACGTGAATATTGCAAAATGAAAAATTACTAGTTTGCCTTCCGCAAAACCTCGATCGGTTAAAGGAGGCCAGACCTAGACTAATGTCGCAGTGTGAACTGACCCTTTGAAAAAATATGACATAGTAACGGAGGTTTTAATAGGAATGAAGGAAAACGCATGTAAGGAAAGAGAAACAGGAAAATTGAAGGAAAAGGAGATGGACACGAATGGAAGATAAGGAGGGAGGGCAATGATAAACTGAGTATCAGCAGGCTCTCTGGGAGAAAATTCAATTAAGAAGTGACTTCGTTTTCCCCTCCCCTCTCCCCAGGCCACGATACTGCTTTACCATCTCCTACACTGRCATACCTGTATGTCCATTATTGTCTTGCAGTTTTGAGTTGGCTCCTCTCTTTAGCAAGAGATCAACACTTTTTTCATGGCCAAGCAAACTKGCATACATTAACGATGTCCTGTAGAAACAAACAGTAATATTCTAAGATAACATCAAATGGATTTGCCTTCTTGTTGCTTT